TTCTTCTCAGTTCCTCGATACTGTGGATTCCTCTCTCCTTCCTCGCTCTTCCCTTCCTCCTACACTTTACAGGACTCCTTCCTTGCTCTTCTCTCTTCTAGACTTATTTTTAACCATTAATAACGCCTTTCACTATTAATATGACTGATGCATGATATAGCGTGATATCCTGATATAGCTCTTGTAACATCTCAAAGTGCTGCGGTTAGGGTAGTGACTGTATATTTGTAGGCAAATTGTGCTCGGCAAGTGTCCAAACAGCGGTGGGATGAAATGCTGTTTAAACTAGGCACATCCCATTGAAGCCACCAGAAACGCTAGCTACAAGACCTTATTAACAGAAAACATAGAGGTCGTGGGTAAGGACCCCTTTTAAATTCTGTTCCCAGATGGAACCTCTGCAGATGTTTGGAATCAGAGACTGTATCTGACATCCATAATCTGCATTCCTTCTGGCCCGTAAACATGTCCAATGCTGCGGTTAGATTTCTCCGCTTTACAGGTTTTTTCCCGACTTCATCAGCTTATGTCACCAAAGCATCATCTGCGAGTTTCGAATTGTTTTGTCGTGTGAAACCATCTGGCCCTCAGTCTCGTTTCCATCGGCACGCTATGCGCGAACCGATAAATGTTGATTTGCACGTTTCAGTTTTAGGATTGACGTCACTCGCCAATGCGGAGTCTGACCTTTGCCGACAAAATTGGTCACGCGCTCCACGGCTGTTTGTGGGAGTTGACGTTTTCCGTGCGCAAATTGACTGCCATGTTTTGCCCACAAAACACGCACAGTCACTCACCTCTACAGTATATCCCATGAAGCGCCTTGAGACGTCTCGACGACATGATAAAAGCGCTATGATAACTGCAAGGATTAATACGACTATTTTAAGTGGAGTGGTTATTTTTAGCTCCACGTCAGTCACTGGCTACACTGCCTTTGGACGTTTTTTTGCAATGAACTTTGCGATTCTTACTTTTCAAAGCGAGACTGAGGCGCTGGGGAGCGGGTTCAAAGTAGAGGCGAAACCGCTTACTGGGCTTAAAGCTTGTAAACGCTGAGAAGAGGCTTAGGAATTGTTTTTGTTGGAGGGGAAAACGCATTAAGAGGGAATTATTATTATCCATGTCTTCCTGAGGCCGAGAGACTTGGACAGTGCGGATGTCGGAATGTTGGCCAACACAGACTTGAGGCACCGGGTAAAACACTGGCACCTCCCGAAGTTTAGAGATTAGAAGATTTCCTTTCCCTCGCTGTGTGGTAGCAGTTTAAGTGAAACTGACTCCAGCCAAAAATAACATTTAACGTCGCGTTCGACCCCATGCGAAAAGCGGCGTTTCATTTTCTCGCGGGAGACGGGGGCGGAGGAGTGGGAGGCTTAGGGTTAGGAAGGAGAGAAAATTGCTAAAGAAAGATTGTCGGCGGGTGGGGAGGGAATAAAAATGTATTTACTGATGACAGGTTGAAGGTTACAAAGCTAAGTGTAGATCTCGGTGACCAAACACCAAACATTTGGAGCATGATTGTACCTGTTGGTGCAACTATAGAAATGTCATGCGTGGAATGTAATCAAGTCAGCCCTGAGTAATGTGGATTGTAATGTGAGATTCATGTCCTGTAGTGGTCAAGAAGAAATTCCACAGAGTCTTTTGACGAGTCCAAAGTGCAGTCGGAGTATTTTCTCAGCCGCTGCCTGTAATACAGATGTAGCTGTTAAAACCAGAGATCACGCACAAAGTAATACAATAATAATAATAATTATTTGACACATTTGGCACATTGTCTTATCACGTGGTCGAGATGTCTCAAAGCACCTCACGGGATCGTACTGTGAAACGTAGTGACTGTGTATTTTGTAGGCAGCCGATTTGCGCACAGCGAGGACCCCACATGAAGTAAATGACTGATTTTATCTGGAGGATTGTCCCTTCTCTTTTCCCACAGAGAAAAAGAAAGGTTGAGGTGTCGGTATGGGTCAGGAGAGGGACACTGCATTGTCAGAAGCCCATGAAGAGACATTAAACCAGGCTCCCATCTGCTTGTTCTTCAAAATCAGATCATAAAGATCCCCAGATGCCATTGGAAAAAAGGAAGGGAGTTTCTACCGGTCTCTTGGCCAACAGTCCCCTGGATAAAATTGGTGGTTCACCTCATGGCTGTTTGCGGGACCTTGCTGTGTGAATAATGGCTGCTGTACTTGCCTCCAAATAGTTGCTCCACTTAACACTAATTACTGTGAAGCCGTTTGAGATGTATCAGCGTCATAAGGTGGTGTAAACATTACAAGCCCTTCCTTTCAGTCAGCTTTGAGTCTGGCAAGTCGATTGGCCGATTTGCCACGATTGCAGGGAGCTTTGATCTGAATGCAACTTGTGTTCCCAAGCACCAGCGTCCGTCTTTCCCCTTCCTCCCCCCCCCCACAAAAGAAAACTCCACTTAAAAACACTACAGAAAATACCAACCGAGAAAACAACACCCACTCGCATTCCGGGCTTTGTGTCTGAACCAATTTGCCACCCACTTGCAGTCGGTTGAGGTGCCAGCCTTTACAAAGGTCCTCTCCGCTGCTAACAATAGCAAATAACTGTCGTCTTTGCGAGGAATGGGACATGTGTAAAGTCTGCAATTCATTAGTGTTGTAAAGCGCAGAGGTTTTTTTNACACAGCGATTGTGCTCCTGCTGCGAAGTGGCAAGCTATAGAAATTCAAGATTGCTCCAGAATCCTACAAGACCCTCGAGGATTCATGGGTTTCCAAAACGTAAATGTTTTTCCTGTCACTTCACATCTGCAGAACTCGTCCTCGCTGAGTGCTGAGCTTGCTTTGCAGGATCAGAGTAGAACTCAGCCTCGTTCATCACAGTCGTGTATTAAAGTGGATAAAGTGGGTTGTCAGCCTGGCTTGGCCGTTAGAAATCTCGCCATGTGTGGGTTCACCTCAAGTCGAGACGTTTGAGCTCGCAATTCAGGCTGACGCTCGAGGGCAGTTCAGGTTGTGTGCGCATTGTCGCAAGTGCCATCCTTTGGATGAGCTGATAAACCACCTCTGCCTGTTTAGGTGGACGTTAAAGTTCCTATTGCATGTTCGAAACGAGAAGGATGTTTTTCCTGGTGTCCTGACCATTACTTCACTTTTTCCCCCCGTTCCCCAGATAAAGTTGATCGTTCACTTTGTGGCTGTTTGTGGGACATTGCTGTGCGCAAATTGATTGCTTCGCCTGCAAGATACGCAGTAACTACACTTCACAGCAAATCTTGTAAAGCATTTCAGTGATGTGATAAGGCTCTATATCAAATGCGAGAATTATTATCGTCTTTTGATAAACTTTTTTTGAACTAGTTTCGTAAATTTTTCTCCCTCCTTTACTCTCCAACCACACCCTGACCTCTCTCCACACCCCCCCCACCACCACCGTTATCTGTCTGTCCTCCATCTGTTCAGAACGTCAGGGAAAGTCTCATTTGATATAGCGCATTATTATGTCATTGAGACGTCTCAATGAGATACGATTTGACGTGGAACTTAAAGCCAGAAAGAGAGCGGGCGAGATGGGGTGGTCGTTCGCCTCGTGGCTGTTTGCGGGATATTGCCCTGCGTACATCAGCCGCTGGGTTTGTCTTTCCAATCGCACAGTCACTCCACTTCCCTGTGAAGTGCTTTGAAATGTCTGGACCCTGTATCAAATGCGAGGGTTGTCACAGCGCAGTGTGCCAAAGGGGAGTTTTTTTTAACCAAGGGCTCCAGATTCTCGCACAGTGTCTTGAGGGTTGACATGACACCTTATCTTCAAGCCAACTGCAGTAAATCTGCCCAATTCTATCAGACCCAAGAGCGTAATTCATTAACGTGGTCATAAATCTACTGACTGAAAGTCACATACCTCCAGTCACACAGCGCTGTGGTATTTTAGCTGTTAGTCATTAGATTATGGGCTGGCATAATCGCCTCTTGGCTCAACCTCGTCATTGTTATATAACTATTAGTAAGGATTAGTTAACACAGTACGTCTGCCTTTCAGTCTGATTTAGGTGTTGGCTTGGCTCAGGCAGTAGCACTCTCTCCTCTCCAGTTGTGGGTTGAGGGTTCAAGCCTCTACGTCAGGACTTTGCAATCACAGTCTAGGCTAACACTTCAATGCAGCACACAGTCACTACACTCGACAGCAACTCCCTGTGGAACGAATTGAGACACATTGACGACAATAGGCGCTGTGTTAAGTAAAAGATAAGAAATGAGAACGCATTGTCTCTAGCATCTGCTTTGAGTTTGAATCTCGTAGGTTCGACCACCATCCAATTGAGGAATGTGCCTTCTTCATCGATATGTCTTTGAAGTCTGTTCCAGCTTTCTACAGGCTGGCCAACACTTTGTTCATCAGTGATTTATAGCTGACTGGGTACCATCTGTCTGCTGGAATGAGGTGATGCACCATAGCCGTAGTTCTGATTCAGCCCGGCTCAATCAGTAACTCTCTTACCTCTTGGGTTCAAGCCCCTTGTCGTGACTTTGAGCTCACAGTTCAGGATGACATTTCAGTGTATAATGGGGGATGTGGGGGGCACTGCATTGTCGGAGGTTTCGTCCTTCAGATGAGACTTTAAACCCAGCCCCCGTCTGGCAGTTGTTCAGGTGGGCGCTTAATGTTCACAACTGGGAAAAGATAAAAGCTTCTCTTGGGTGTCCTGGCCAACAATTCTCCAGATGAATGAATTATTCACCTCACGGCTGTTATGTGGCATCCTGCTGTGTGTAAAACAGAAGAGTTTACCGACCAAAGCAAAGTCTCTACACTTGACAGTAATTACTGTAAACAGCTTTGAGATAAAGGGTTGTAAATATACCACGTCTTTCTTTCCTTTACGTCCACTTTGATTCACGAGGTGACAGCACCTAAACTAACGACTCGGTCAAAAAATAGTGGGGGGAGAGGGGGAAATCCAGAAACGAAACGGGTGACGTTTTCAGTTTCACATCTAACATGAGATGTCTCTTTGCGTTGCAGCTGTCTGCAGTTATGGAGTTTGCTTCAACGGCGGAAAGTGTGCCGAGGGGGGGTCGGAGCTGTGCCACTGCCCCGAGGGCTTCCAGGGGCCTCGCTGCCAATATGGTAAGTAGTCCTCTAACCGAGAGGAGCAACAACGATTAGCACACAGGCTCCCAAAGCAACGGGGTGGGTGGGGTAGAGCAAGAGCCAACAGGGGGGCAAGGTAAGAAGGTGTAAACACAAACCCCTTATCGGCAAGTGATAAAGGATTGATCTAACACTAAATCTGCTGTATGTACAAGATCATTAACTGATCCTACATGTTATAGGGTGATTTGCGTTTGCGGAGGTTTAGTTATGGGGTGTCTTGTGTTCCCGGTGGTTCAGCTTAAATGCCACAAAGTCAGTTTTGCTTTAGTAACAAGTAGTCCTTTGCTCAGTGAAACCAGCAGAGCAGAACGATTCGCACCGTGCTGGTTTGACAAGCTGAAGAGATGAGACGCTTATAAGACCGGTTTCCAGGCACTTAACCAGACCCATCTTTATCTCATTGAACTCAAAGGCTTTGTTTGAAATGATCCTTCCACTCTAAAAGTTAGTTTTCGTGTCACGCAGCCTGCAATTTGAGACAGTGAGCTACACACAGCGAGATAACCTATTATTTCCTTGAGCATGATAGCTGTCAGTGAGGAACTAGTTCTTGCTTTGAATATTCTTGTTCTACCGTGATCCTTTGGGCTCTGAGGTTCCTTGTAAATCGTGGAGAGGGAAGTGACCTTGGTTCAGACGTACCTCCATTCCTGTTTGGATCATTAGAAATGTTGGGTGTTTCTTAATAAGGTGGTGTTTGTGATGTTTCTTAATAAGGAATAGTAATTGGGATTTATTAATAAGAAAGTTGAGGCACCACTGGCTCTTGCGCATCCCTAGCAACTGAGGACCTTTACCTGGGCTCGTAGCGTGTGAGTTTATGTTGGATTTTAACCATGGTTCAGTCCAAGTGATCCCAGATCTACTCATCTGCTCAGTTAAACAGGGAGGTTGGTTCTCGTAGAACTGATGGTATTTATTTCCTCTCTTGGCTTCTCCTTGTTTTGGAAGAAGCTGTTGAAATAATAATTGAGTATCCGTTCACAGAGGACCGCACCAAACCGGCACGGTTACAACGGCCTGTCAGTTCCCATCACCGGTGGGCCCCGAAATGCCGTAAACGCACCCTTAAAGTTCAACAACTCCCCGAATAGCAGAACGTTTTAAATTTTAAATCTTTTTTTAAAAAAAATTAAACCACTTCCAAATGGAGACCGAATCGAAGACTGTTCCAAAATTCTGCAAATTGTTAAGAAAAATTGTCTCGAAACCTAAAGCCAGGTGGAGTTTAGGCCCCTGAAGATAGGAGAGTGGGAGAGAGAGAGAGAGACAGAGACAGAGAGAGAAATTATAGGTGTAATGTATAATGAAAGCCTTTATGCCAAAGAAAGAACCATTGGAATGCATCATTATCTGGTGTAATACCTTGATTCTCTGGCCATGGCTAATTCCAAACTCGACGTACTGTAGCTAAAATGATGCTAGTCTAGACTAGGATATCTCATCTTGTCTTGATTGACTGTCCCACTATAGCCACAAATTCATCAGAGTCTGATAAGAGGCCAATCACAGATGGATATGGCATGTTTAATGGTTATTACCCCAAAGGCAAAGTCAAAGCATATCATGGAAACTGTTGAAAAGTACGTTTAGAATTGATCTCAGAGAAAAAAATTCATCTTCACTCTTCAGTTGTGGTGCAGTCTGATGGGTAATAGAGATAAAGAGATAGGGGATGGATAACCGTTGGTGGTCGAATGGTCTTTTCTTATCGCATGTTCTTTCCCATTGAATGAACCTCAGATTTGTTACAGCGGGGGTGGGGAGGGGGGGAGGGAAGGGTCTATTTTACGAAAGTCACTACAAAAGGGGTCGGTCTTATTGCCGCCTCTTCATAATAGATTTCCCCTCGTAAAAATCACAGTGGAACGATCGCTATCCTTTTTATAGCAATGGGCGTAAAATAAGCTCATTGTCTTTGGAGGAATCTGCAGTTGACAAGGCTCAGTCATGGCTCACAATGGAAATCCGATTGGTTGCGGACTGATCTGATACAGACTGCTGACCCAAAGAAAAAGTCCCTAAATGCAAAGCCACCAGAGAGCTCTTCCTCCCCAAATGTATAATGAAGCAAGATGATATCGGGTAACACGGATCCAAGACATAAATTTTGAATCCCGAGTAAGAAGAGTGTGTCAATGTGACCTGCGACGGTACATGCACTCGCACAAAGGTCTATTCTTCAAAGTAGCTCAACGACGGTCATTTCCTGCAGCCACAAAAGGTCACTGGCACATCAGAAGGTCCTCTCGTAACTCATTGATTCTGATGAGCAAGGCTTGTCGGGCACTCGAGGAGCTGGAGAATAGAGCCTCGCACAGCAGCCGATCATTGAAGTACCACAGCTGCTTTAGGACATATAGAAGAAGGGAATGGTGTCAACCTAAATCGCTCGGTAGCTCTTGCCCCTGGGTCAAAAATGTTGCGGTTTCAAGCTCCACGTGAGGGAATGGCCAGTTCATTGCCGGGGGGAATTGGATCAAGGTCAAGGTCCTGCTTGCATGTTCAGGTGGATGGTAAAGATCCCATGACACTGCTTGAAAGGAGAAGGGAGGTTCTGGCCAACTGTCCCCCTCCCCCCTAGGTAAATTGGTTATTGACTTCATGGCCGTGCTTGTGGAATCTTCAAACCTGCCAACCATTAGAGAACACTTTGTCTTCAAATTTCAGATTGAGAAGAATTGAGTAATATCCTTGAATTTCAGTTTCAATTCTTATGAGCTGATTTTGACTCCGTTCTTAAGAAGAACTTAAATAATAAGGTCTTCTTAAGAACTGCCTGAGCCTTTTTGCGGCTGGTACCTTAAGGCTAAGACCAGGTGGCATTGCAGGCCACTTCTTCTCACGGTGAAGGCAGAAAGCGAGGAATCTGCATTAGAACTAGGAATCTGAGTTCCTGACATTCCTCCTCTTTCAGTCAACTCACAATGGACTGGTTCCCAAATAACAGCTGCGACTCTTCAGATAACATAGCTCGCAATCTTCCTCTCTAAGACAAATTACCCCATATAAATATTTCCCTTCCACAATTACCTATGTTGCTGTGTTTCTTTAGCGCCTTTGCGGTCGCCCCATGGGATGTGATCTACTCATCCCCTCCTCTTCCCTCCCCCTGCCACACCCACACCCCCACTTCCCTTTAGGTTTGTTCAGACCTCTACAATCTTACTCACTCAGTGAAAATCCAAGGCAAATCTGTAGGTTCATTCAACAGATAGTGAGGTGAAGAGCCTGCTCTAAACCAGTGTTATTGTGTGACTGTATCTGCAACTCAGTCAGATCCAGCCTGTCTATCTGAAATACATGCATTCCCATTTGTCCCTATAATCATTATTAATCATAATATTAATAATAATAGTCCTTACATAACATTAACATCAAAACTTCTCAGTGAGCTTCACGGGTCGTTGAAGGCAAGTGTAGCGACCGCCTAATCCCCTTTTAAAAGAGATTTAATAATAAATAATAATAATCTGCATTTGATATAGTGCTTTATCCCATCGTCAAGACATCTCAAAGCGCTACACAGGAGATAAAGTGGATTGACTGTGTATTCTGTGGGCAAAACACAGCAGTCAATTGTGCACACCAGTGTCCCACAAACAGCCTTGAAGTGAGACCACAAGGGAAGCTGGCTGTGTACACAGCACATCACATCATTTTTGCCTTGATAGGGGATAGATCGTTGGAGCCTTTCCCTGGTGTGGACATACTGTGATCACACACGTTTGATTGCTGAGGCTCGGACACTGCTTAAAAAGCAACTCTCCTCTTCTCCCTTGTTTTGACTTGGTCTCCGTAGTCTTTTAATTCATCCGACTTGACAGGGAGGCCAGCAAAATGCCTTTACACTGACATCAATCCCTTTTCCTTTCACTTCCCACCCCCCCCACACTCACCTCTCCACATAGGCTCTCTTCCTTCTCAGTTCATTTTACTAGGTGAACCCCCTCCCTCTATGTGGTCGGTGGTCAAAGGCCAGCCCTCTTGACCTTCCAAGTGCCTGGATGAGGCCATTCGATCGCATCGATGCTGAGAAATGGGTTGTTAAAAACAAAATTGTTTGATGTGAGAGGTCCCGCCAATCACATCAGAAATGCTTGTAAACGTGTCAGTCAAAGCCCGCAGAATGTTTGGCTTGAATCGGAGGAGTGTGAAAAGGGCGTCAGGGTTCAGTCTCCTGTAACATGGAACAGGAGTGAGTTTGGTGTCTTTGACTCTGAATTGTGCTCGCAAGAGAGAAAAGAACTTGTGTTTTCATAGTATCTTATCACGTTGAAGCTTTTTGCAGTAATTATTTTCAGCCTTTTTTTTTTTTACGTTTTCACCTATATTCCTAGAGCGAGATCCCACAAAATAGCAGTGACTGGGTGGGGGGGGAGGTGGGGGTTGACTGATTAGTTTTTATCTTGGAAGATTGTCAGCCAGTTAAATCGGGAGGACTACCTTCCACTCCCTTGTGTCCTCCAGGTGGACTGATGGATTTCTGAACGAAACCCCGATTTTGTTTTGCTAATTAAGAAATCCGTAAAGAAATACCACAAAATGGCCAAAGCAAGGACAAACAACAACAACAACAACAAGATTCCATTTATAAAGCGCCTTTCACGTCAGGAGGACGTCCCAAGGCGCTACACAGTTGGGTCATGACCCGAGCAGGGGGGAAATGGTCAGGGTGAGGGGAGGGAAGGGAGGGAGCGAGGAGGGAGGAAATGGTCAGGGTGAGGGGAGGGAGGGAGCGAGAAGGGGGAAGAGAGTCGAGAGGGGAGCTGAAGGCTCGGTCAAAGAGAAAAAGCACGAGTTGTAGTCCTTTGCGGTTCCACAATCCTTCTCAATAGCACATCTCTCCTGGCTTCAGTTATGTGAGATTCTCACAGTTCAGTTTGGACACACTTGGCTTTCTTTCTTCGTCTCCCCCCGCTCGCCCCTTCCTGCCCCAGCACCGTGCGGAATGTATGTTCTGAGGAAGTCTA